TTGCTACTAATGTTACCCAGATAAATTTATTTATTTTGCTAGATGGATAGATAGATAGATAGATAGATAGATACACTGAACAAAAGTATAAGAGAAATAGGCCTTTTGTGTACATAGAAAAAGTCTTAGATCTTTGAGTTCAGCTCATGACAAATGGGGGCAAAAACAAAAGTGTTGCGTTTATAATTTTGTTCGGTGTAGATAGATAAATAGATGGATGGATAGATAGATAGAGGTGGTGATAACCAAATATCTTCCTTCATTTACCAAAAGTTTACAATATAATTTAAATATTTAATATATTACATTTTTATTTAATTTAAATAATGTTTCCGGAACACTCCCATCTGCCATTGGTTGGGCAAACAGATAGTCCTGCCCCAAACACATGCCATTGGTTGAATCTTTGGATAGTGCCACATAGCAAGTGTTTGCACTATGCAAGATATTAAGATAATTTAAAGATTAAAATACTCTTTAAATATAAATTAGACCTGTGAAATGTACCATTGTGAATTATTAAGCTGAAAAATAGGTTATAAATTAATCAATTAAAAATAGCTGTTAGCTGCAATAATAAAAGGACGTAATTTAAAATAGTAGTAAATAATACAGAATAAATGATAAATAATAGTAAATATTTTACATTTTATTTGTGGAACTCTGGATTATTTTTTTATTTTTATTTTTATTTTTTTTATTTTTATTTTAATATCCTGAAATTCTGTTCGATGTATGAAATGTAGATTCATACTAAGTGCACATTCTAACTCATTTAGACCTTTCTGCATTCAAAACTCTCACTTTGCTTTGGGTTCTCCCTGCAGTTGAGATATGTGACAGTTAACAGCTTCATGCCGGTGTGTACAGCTGGTGCGGTTCATGTATATTTGCATGTGTGTAAACAGGTCTTGTGATCTGGTGAGGTGTAATCCAGCGAGCAGCATTCACACAGATGCTCGACTCAGTACAGGATCCTGAGAGGAAGATGAGCAGGATGAAGATGTTCCTGAGGGACTAGCGCCACGCAGCTCTCCATGCTTCTCCTGCCAATTAGCTCTCACTGGTGCAATGCGTGTGTTGTTAGTGTGTGTGTGCACTAAAACATCTGCCTGTGTGGTCAGTGTAACCACAGAGTCTTATTATAGCTGAATTCTTCTCACAATCTGTGTCTGTGATAAGAGCTTGTGATTTTATCACTGGCTGCCGGCTGACACACATGCTCATTGCAAAAGAGATTATGTCATCTTGCCTCGAAGCCCTGGAAATATCGGAGGGATTATTATGCAGCGTCGAAGACAAAATGTGTGTCTTTTTTCTTAAAGGTGTGTGTGTATGTGCAGAGGGTGAGCAGGTGATCGTTTGGCAGCTCTATTCCAGGACTCTCACTGTTTGCCTGTGTGTTAGCTGAAATAATTATGAAAACACAGACCTCACGCTGTAATGGGGTTCAGTTAGAGGCTCTTGTGTGCTTAACTCGCAGGAGAAATAGCTTCTGTTATGGCCGCACAGATAAACACAACCTGTTTAAGGGCTCTGTTATGTCCACTCAGTGTTTCTCAAGCCTAGCAGGACTATGAATTAATACATACTGGTTGTGATAAAGCTATAGCTGGGCAATACATCCCAAAAAAAAAAAAAACACGGAAAATGTACTGGTGATTTTCTACCAGGGCATTATCCTTTAATGTCAAGGACATTTCCATTCATTTGAAAACACAATGCAATGCAGTACACAATTCAAAATACAGGTAAAATCAAAGAAAAACTACTTCCAAATAATACAGTTTTACAGTATGTATATATATATATATATATATAAAACAGAGATATATTCAGTTAATCAGAAATAACATTGTTTACATTTACATTGTTACAAAAATTTCTTTCAAATAAATTGTTCTATTGAACTTTTTATTCATCAAAGAATCCTGTAAAAATTTTGTCAGTTTCTACAAAAATATTAAATAGCACAACTATTTTCAACATTGATAATAATAATAAAAAATCAAGCATTTTAGAATGATTTCTGAAGGATCATGTGACACTGAAGTCTGTAATCACTGCTGAAAATTCAGCTTTGCCATCACAGGAAAAATATTCACAAAAAAATATTTAGAATTGCATGATTAATAAGAAATAAGTGATGTAAGTTTCACAATATTACTATTTTACTGTATATTTGATCCAATAAATGTAGCCTTGATGACCCCAAACGTCTGAATGGTAGTATCATGTTTTAAATGATGCAAATTCATTGTTGAATCTTATTTTGAAATTAACTGAATACCAATTCACAATTTTTTTTTTTGCTACTGAAGTGACCCTATAAAAACAAAATTTACAAAATGCTTTTTTGATGACAAAATCAAAACAAACAAACAAAAAAAAAAACCTAACTTTCTCCACTTCTGAAATGAAACATACGTTTTTCATGAACCCATCAATTCCTCATTCATAAAACAAGTCCTCCTCTAAATTCTTTTTTATTATTTCATTGTCTGTCCTTTTTCACTCTGAAATTTGTCACACACAAACATGTCCTAGAGCTCAAATATTTTAGGAACAAATCATGATGGCCAAATAAAACACCATCGCAAAATTCACTAGGTCGCCTAATTTCATATTGAAAGAATAATAATCTTAAACATATTGAATTAATATTTAGAGCAAGGCATTTCGATCTGGTGAGATATATTCTCAGTGATTTGTATACACAGCAGGTGTTGGGCAGTTGCTCTCCCTCCATTTGGTGTGCTGTGGCAAGCTAATGTCAAGTGGATTCGCTTGAATGTTTAGCCACTAATGGGAATTTAGATTGAAAAGCAGAGGCAAACTTAGACGTCCATATCAATTAGCTGCTCTCAGTGACTATGAAACATGAGACAATCACAGATGAGGCTGTTTTTTTTTCATGTAAGGCACACACATCCTCCTCATTAGCCTATAGAGTGCTAGTGCCTTCAGGATTTCTTGAGTGTGTGTGTGTGTGTGTGTGT